CTATCCGTGGACCACATCTTACGCACCTGTCCAGCTTTAGAGAGTATTAGGCATAAACACTTTATTTCTGCTCAATATCAAACACTGTTAAAAACACCATCTTTTGAAAATATTACATGTTTTTATAATTTTCTAGTGGAATGTAACATACATAATATGATATAATATAGATTTGTTATAATATCGGAGTCGATGGCCAAAGCTGCTCGCACGCCTCCTTATCATTAGGTTTAATAGCCTGTATATTTTTCCTAATAAATGTAATAATAATAATATTTTTAATTCAATTATCTTAAAGCTTTATTATAGCCCTGACAGACGACAGCGCTAATTTGCATTAGCCATTATCCGAATTTATTTTTAACTTTAATTATAAATTTGAAAAAATTAAATTTAAATTATTGGAAACAATATGAAGTTAATCGTTTATTTTTAAAAATTTTTTCTATTATTTGAAATTCTAATAAAAACAAAACTTTGTACGTATTCCACTTGACACTTTGAGGAGAAATGATGAAATGAGCGAAATCAGCTCTAACACCATGCCTAATCCTGACTTTACACGAATTCGATCCGATCTTATTTGTTAGATGTAATATTATAACAATTGTGCTAAATAAACTCACAATTAAATATTAAATATACATTTATACAGATTTTTTGGAACAGATTACAAATTCAATGATAATATCGTCCACTGTAACACGCATTAATACATATACAAAAATTAAATTTATTTACCTGGAACTTTGTATTTATGTTCTGTTTTGTTATGTTGAGAAAAAATGGAATATTTTTGAGCATTTATTAATGAAAGAAATTATTAAATATTTCAATCCAGAATTTTTTCATATCCAATTCCATGGTTTATTAAAGCTCCTAAACTGAAGCTACCGAAAATATAAAATATAAGCTTATTCCTTTTTGGATTTCTTTGAATGTCCTGCCTTTTGCTTTCCTTTAGCTGAACGTACTAATTTACTTAAAAGCTTACAAGAAAATTTCAGCAACTTCCACAGCAAATAAAGTGTTATCAATATAGCTAATAAAACGTCCAAGCTATTCGACTGTATAAAATTCAAATGAATCAGTGGACTTTGCATGTGTGCAGCTCCATGATGACGTATAACATATTCAACCCAAAAATTAACAGTTTCTCTAGCAGTCAATGGACGATTTCGATATAATTCTGAAAATCGATACACATTATTTCGATATATTGAGTTATGAAGCACTTCAAATATGGCGTCTCTGAATTCATTTTCTTTCAAATTTAAAATGTCTACTTGTACGCCAAAACCGGAAGACACTATTTTAGCAGCATTCGCGGGTTGTTCAGCAAATATTGGCATTGCAATCATAGGCACACTGTGATAAGTCGCTTCCACCATTCCACCCTTTCCGGCATGTGTGATGAAAAGCTTAAGGTTAGGATGGGCGAGTATATCATCTTGTGGTAACCATTTTTGGTAGAGTATATTTGAGGCATTGCCAGGGGTATTTTCCAAATTTTCCCACTTCCAAACCACATTTTGTTCCAACGAGGAGAGTACTTTGTAAATTATACTAACAGTCTCTGGTTGCATGCTGGAACTTTTCATGTTTGAACCCAAACTAAAGAGTATTGCTCCATTTGTTTTGGAGGCATTCAAAAAGTGATCAATAATCTGAAAAAAAAAATAATGAGCTGTTAATAAAAAGGAAATTTCTTATCAGCTCCATTTGGTTTAAATAAACTTAGAAAATAAACTGTGACAAAATCGTTAAATATGTGGGAAGTAAATAAAGTTTCGGAAAATCGAGTGCAATCGAACAAAGATATTTACATAATTCGAGAATTAAAAGTGTATCAAATACTTTCAGTTGTTTTCAAAACTTAAGTAAACCCGAGCGATTTGCGCAGCCCCAACATTTTCTATTCGACGAAATCGAAATCAAAGAATTCCAATCATATATTACATCTTATTCTTACTCATTCGTCAAATACTCACTTAGTTGCGTTACTTAATTATACTTGTGTCATTTTAATTAACTTAAATAAGATGTATATGTGATACCAAACAACTTAATAATGGCTTAATTTAATATATTGGGAACATAAGAAAAACGCCAACCAAATAATCGTAACTCATTAAACTGGATTTATGAGGTTTAGAGGAGAGGTTGACCAGTTTCAATAATATTCAAGGCAAACAATATTATTTTTAATAAATATCTAAAATATCGATATTTTCAATAAAAAGTCAACCATTCTTTTGAATTTGAAGCTTCATACATATTTTGATGAATTGTATAGTATATGTATATTCGATACAATTTCGTCAGTTTCCCTTCACKGTTTTTTCTGTCAGAAAGCGTTATGCACTGATAATTTGTAAGCTATATATGCATGATTTTGTAAAAATTGGTAATATAATCCCAATACATGTTTTGGGTGGGATATATAATTAAAATGAACGTTTGGTCCTAATTGCACTTGAGCTGAAAATCGCGGAGAACCAGTAAAATACACACTGTGATAGTTTCATCGTTCTCGATATGCATGCACTCTCATAAAATAAAACAAACGTTGAGTGCTGAAAGCTTGTTTATTATCTTAGATACGTTTAAATGTGTAGTAGGGAAACTGTAGGAGATGATGCCAGTGGCTCAGTGAGAATTCACTTGTAAAGCGGTCAATAAATTATCGTTATATCACCTGCTGGATTACATTTAAAAATTAAAAAAGTGGTAAAATCATCATTGTTGGGTTGAAAAACATAAAGTCCATCACAAAATTATCCAGCAAAAAGTTAGACATTTATTCTGTTTGTTTTTATTAACCACCAAAACGGAATGTAAATTTAATATTTTCATTGTTACATATGTTTAGAAATATACACTTTTTTAAAAAGAAATGAAATATATTTGCAAAATTCTGTTCTCAATGTATTCTAATTAGATCATTTTAAAATCGGGGTATTCAAATATACTTCTACATACATATATTAAACGTATAGAAAAGTTTCTAGTTGTGAATATAAATCTGAAAAATTAAATGCAAATTTGCMACCAGTAACAATATGAATTCAAAATAGTAAGTACTTATGGTTATAAAGTATGTATACTTTAATTAAATTATTGCATCACTTTGCTGTGAGTAGAGAGTAATAAAGATTCGATAAAAGTCGAGTCGAGTACTGATTAGTGYACAAGTAAGAGATCCACAAGTTTAAAATAAATTAAGTTAAAAAAATTCCTTACTTGAATGAGTTAACATGTGCATACAATTTGATCAAAATTAAACTGAACTAATGAACGGATATCTACATTCAAAAGAACCACCACCACTTTGCATTAACTGTAATGATACCCTAACCATGCCTAATAAACGGCTACAAATACACATCGCAAATTGCTGATTTGCATACCGTTATTGCAACACTGGACTACGAAAATATAAACAAACATCTACCTCCTATACTATTACAATTAACTTAGAGTTGAAATGTAAATATGTATAAGTAAATTAATATGCACCTATACAAAATGGGACGAAGGCGTAAGCAGCCAAGTCTTTGTTTTTTTCTAGTATGTCTGTAAATTTATTTAGAGGTCATATTAAAATAAATAAATAAATTATTTTCCCACCTTAGGTAAAGGCGTTGCCTTCTCCTTTATTTGTATGCCACCGATTTCTACCATACCAGGTACCATCGGCCGTATGGGCCCCTCACTGAAATGGCTGTTACAAAATATTAAGGATACGTTCTCTTTCATCTCTGAATATGTACGTAGTGCCGCATCGTCGGCTGCTAACTCTCTATTATATAATTGAAATTAATTATGTAATTATAAACTAAACAATTTACATTGCATATTATTTCTATAAATAATTCATTGGACTCACTTGTAATATGCCGCAAATGAAATATCCATGATATTGGTAGCTAAACGCAACAAACCACTCGATACAAAATTTAGCAGACGTGATCCAAAACTCATAATTTCACCGTTTTTATGAGGAGTAAATACAGACGGAACATACGATACTTCATTCGGTACTCCAACAAAATGATTTACCATCTCCATCGGTTGGCCAGTCCAACTGAGTATCATAGGGCAATTCAATTTGGCCGGAACGATGAATTGGAAGTTATTCATAAAATATCCCATTATAACCAAATCATATTTGTTGTTATAGATTTGTTGAAATTTTTCATTCTTAACAATATCCAATTGCAATGTGATCATAACATTGTCAGCTCTCAAGAATTTCATCACCATAACAATGGGGTTTTGCCTTTTTACTCCCAAGTCGGATAATTCCTCATTCATTTCCTTTTGACGCGCTTCCGACGGCTCAATAATGATGTTGTGTATTTTGGGATGATAGACTTTCGGTTTTAAACTTGAGACMACTGTTATGTTGTGACCACGTTCAGCCAGTGTTTTCATAATTGACATATGTACAATTAAATGTGAGGGACTCGGACTGAGAAATACACCAAGAATATTAGCGGTGGAAACTGGTTGCACTGATATCGATATGGCTATTATCGCTGCTATCATGAAAGCGATCATGCCGCGATCGTCCGACCAACACCTCATTCTCTTTTGATTTCGTTAAACGAACTGAAACAAACTGAGCGATTAAACAACGTTTTATTCTATGTAATCGTCGAAATGATATAGAGGCGCTAGACTTCAACAAATTTGTGAGTGCAATGATAACAGAAATTGTTATTGTAATTGGTTTGTAGAAGTAGGCGGTATATACATTAATACTTCTACCAACTACAATTTTCTTAGTAAATATGTATGTTGTATTTGCGCATCCATTATCAATTAAGTTAATAAAGTGCAATTACACAATAATGAATAAAATTGGTAATTCATTATATACTATAACCATGATTACCGTTTAGATAACGTATATCAGTAGTACATATACAAATATCTAAGACTGCGACGCACTAAATCGTACAAAACCATATTTGTGAATTACTTTTTTGTGAAATTATTTAATAATTTTTATCGTAGCTTTATGATGACAGCTTCTAAAGCCAAATGAGGACTTCGAACGCTGTCCATTCCGACATAGGAATGTGTAGAAAAAGAATRAGAAAAGGAACCGACAAAGCACTTTCAAAAATATATTTCCGCTTACTCACAACTTGAATACCCGGAAGGGACTCAAGTAACGTTATAAACGCAGTGAGCCTGTATGCATGTACTCGTATGTACTTATTAAAAAATATGTAGGTCCGTATTATATATATGTACATAGTAGACTGATGTAAACAAGAATACCACAAATAAAAAATCATCTGTATGATGCTTATGTGGTTTCATTCGGCCAGGTTATAATAATGAATTGCAAAATGTTTTATTAACTTGGCAACTTGGTTTGGTTGCATTTAACATAACCGTATAAAATTAAATCTTAGAGTGTTATGTAACATTTATTTTTTTTTATACTAATTAGGGCGTCGTGTTAGCATATCTTCTTCTTGATTGGCGTAGTCACTGCTTACGCGATTATAGCCGAGTTAACTTTAAATACTTTCAGAGCTGCAGTGTTTTCGTCCATTCGGACAACATGACCTAGCCGCTGTCTTTTAATTCGCTGAACTTGTCACATCACTTGTTRCCATCGTCCAAGCTTCTGCACCGTATAGCAGGACGGGAATTATGAGTGATTTATAGATTTTGGTTTTTGTCCGTCGAGAGAGGACATTGRATTTTCAGGCTGACATTGTTGGTGGTGTTTACGCGAAATTATTTTTTTTATTTTGTTTATTTGGTAAGTCTATGAACATTAAATCTTACAGACTAGTGGAGAAATTAGGATGCAAATTAGAACTCTAAAAAAACTTAATTACAATTACATAGATAGATAACTTGAATTAAAAAACAGAATTGAGGGTATTAATAAGGATACCCTAGAGTGCGAAAGATCAAGAAGAACTTTCTCGGAAATCRAGCTAAACTCACGCATAGCATGCTTGAGAGGAGCATATTCAGCAAAATTAGTACTTTCTTTATTGTAATAAAATGGGGAAATAGATCTGAGACAACGCTGAGGAGTATTGAAATTAATTTTCCCCAATAAATAATGACAGTCAATACTTCCATTAATTACATTGAAAACAAATGAAATGCAGAGAACAGCCCGTCGCTTATCTAGTAATTTAAGATGTAAAAGCAATAAACGAGTTGTATWCGATGGTATGGGGTCGACAAACTTTAGCGGAGAGCAAATTTAAGAAAAATCTTTTGAACACGTTCGATCCTATTAATTGACGATATGCAGTGTCTCCAAATGAACACTCCAAAATGGACCGAACAAAACATGTATACAGTAATTTTAGCGTCTACGGGTCGGAAAAATTTAAAGCATTTCGACGGACAAAGCCGAGCACGATTATCTACGACTTCAAAGTTATGACTGTCAACAGTGAGGTGAGAGCCTAGTCGCGAGTGCGACGACTGTTTATTTGATGACAGGAGATATTTCGTCTTGCCCTCCTTCACTGCCKGACCCATTTGTTTTGCTTCCTTGTCCAGTCTGGAGAAAGAACTAACGGCGCGGGTGTTAAGGCCGATGACATCARTATCATCGGCATACGCCTGAAGCTGTACACTCTTATAGAAGATTGCACCTTCTCTATTTAGTTCTGCAGCTCGAATTACTTTCTCCAGAAGCAGGTTGAAGAAGTCGCACGATAGGGAGTTGCCTTGTCTGAAACCTCGTTTGGTATCGAACGTCTCGGAGAGGTCCTTCCCGATTCTGACGGAGCTTTTGGTGTTGCGCAACGTCATATACTGACGGGGATACCGAATTCAGACATCGCGGCATAAAGGCAGCTTCTTTTCGTGCTGTCGAAAGCAGCTTTGAAATCGACGAAGAGGTGGTGAGTGTCGACTCTCCTTTCACAGGTGTTTTCCAAGATTTGGCGCATGGTGAATATCTGGTCAATTGTTGATTTTCCAGGTCTGAAGCCACACTGATAAGGTCCAATCAGTTTGTTGATGGTGGGCTTTCATCTTTCGCACAATACTCTCGATAGAACCTTATATGCAATGTTGAGGATGCTTATACAACGATAGTTGCAGCAGATTGTGGGATGTCCTTTTTTGTGGATTTTGCATAGCACACTCAAATTCCAATCGTTGGGTTGGTGGTTTTTCGATCCGGAGACAGCCAGGTAGCTTGATGTATGTTATTATGCTGGAATCTAGTACTACAGATAACCATATTTCGGRMCCCGGTGAAGTCGATCAGCCTCAACCCGTTTGGGAATGTTTCGTCGTGGAGGCTGAATTTACCGACTGTAGTGCCAAAGATACCTTCCTTGCCCACCCTGGCGTTAAAGTCGCCAAGCACGATTTTGACATCGTGGCGGGGGCAGCTCTCATAAGTGCCCAAGCACTCATAAAAGGCATCTTTGGTCACATTCTCCTTCTCTTCCGTCGAGGCATGGGCGCAATGTTGAAGAACCTCGCTTTGTTCGTTCACCGGAGTGAATGATAGTACTGGGCGACGGAGTCTCTCCCACCACGAATCCCTCACCAAACGTGTGCTCCTTTATATGGGCACTGTAGTAAATGCTACAAATGCCATGTCTCTGTCCTTGTCCCGTCCATCGCATTTCTTGGACGGCTCTGATGTCAGCCTTTATTTTCACGAGGACAWCAACCAGCTGGGCAGCGGCACCTTCCCAATTAAGGGACCGGACACAGAGAACGTATAATATAGAGAAGGTTCAACTTCGGACAAGCGTGTGAACTGTCAAGAGCCGTGAATTTTCTATTAGTGGATTTCACCACTTTTGGCTCGACAGGAGAAACTTTAATAGAAATGAGTGAACAGAGCTGAGAATTCAATGAGAATTATGCTCTGAAATATACATTGCTTTTACARACGCCTGTTGGCCTTTTGGCTTATATTTTTTATACGTTTACATGCTATCATATCAATTGATATGAATATAATTTTGCGAATTTTTGTGAATTCATGCAAAATTGATAACATTTTAATTTATGGAATTTTAAAAGCAATATTTGTAGTTAATGGGCATATTAAATATTTCTTATCTTTGATAATTTAATATAATTTCATATGTGATATATTATCATAATATCATAAAGAAACTTAATATATTACAACAAAACTATATATAAATCACACCTTTTATCATTTAAAACTTTCATACGCATCTATCCTGCTGATATGTATGTCAATACAAATCAAGTTATTATCATTTATCAGTAATATAAAAAGCGCTCGCTTCTCTATATTTACGTAAACACATATGTATGTATGTGCGTATGACATTCTCACACAAATAATATATGCGTA